CTTTACTTGATTATATAGGTGGAAATTCTATCCAATAACACTAAAAACCGTGCCATCGCCAATAGCTGCAACTTTACATGTGACTGATATTAGGTTTACTTTGGATGTCCATTGAGATGTCCACAAAGATATCGCAAACACACGCCCGCCAATGCCACTTGTTAAAGGAATAACTTAACAAAACTTACATTTTATACCCATAGCAAAAAGCATGTTTTTTTTAATTCTTTTATCTGTATTATGAACAATATAGTTTCTGGCTACTTGATAAAATGCTAATTAAATATAATTTCCTTTGTAGTCATACAAAATACAACTTTTAAATTTCCTTTATAAAAACTACAAAGTAAGAGTTGGATTTATTAATTTAAGTACTGTCTTTAAACTTGTATATATTGTTAATAAATAAACAAAATTATAAAAACAAATTATTTCACAGCATAATTTGCATGCTTCTTTTTGGCTAGTTGTTTAAAAAGCATATATTCTAATCCGTATGACATAGTCTAGAATATTTTTCCAGGAAAATCTTTTGAAGCGTAATGTTCCAGATTTAGACACTGGCAAGTAACTAAAATACTCTTCTTGATACCGGTTCCAACTAAACTAAAGCTGACGCCATAAGCCAGTATAAGGAAATCGATACTAAATGTAAACATTTAGTGGTCGTCCATATAAAGGCGTAACACTCAAAGAAGGCATGGGGTTCTGAAGTTTGTGATGGAGTTTGACCAGTGTTAGAGGTTCTAAAAATGTGAAGACACACTTCTGCGTTACTAAAAGTGATTTTGGGAATGTATTTTGGCTGTTATTTCGCTTTTTTAAAAGGCTGTTTTTGAAAGTTGTATTGATTAATACACGCAGTGAAAAGTATTTATAAAAGAATTCAATGTTTGTTTTTAAAAAAAAAACTAAACATCATTTATGAGAGGGATTGGGGAGGGGGGGGGGAGCTGAGTTGTGACGTGCGTTTAGGTTAGGGTTATCGCTTTTTAAATTGATTTTTTGATGATAGGGAGGGAGGGGGGTCAGCTGGAAATCGTTTAAAAATCTTGTCGACATTGAGTTTTTACCCTTAGGCATTTATAGTATGAAGTTGAAGTACGTTGAAAGGCGTGTTTCAGTATAAGTAAATGCGGCACTCGTTATAAATTGTTGAGAGAATTCTGACGTTTTCAAATATCACAAATCGATCAATGATATTTTTAAAAAATAAATAAAATGAATGAGGAATATCTCTGTTATTAGTCGAAGCGTATTCGGTCGAAAGTTAGCTTTGTAAATAGAGCTCATGCTGTATGTAGTGCTAACCAAAAGCTTAGTTAGTATAAGCACGTCCATTGGTGAATTAGCCCTGTATGGTTTTGAATTAATAAGCACCACATTCGTTTCCCCACTTCAAGGGGCATCTATATACGTATATGAAACACGTTTTAGATTGTTTGAGCATCTTATCTATAAAATATCTAAACATAATATATCAATAAAGTTGTCTTTTAATTTATCGATTTCTTAAACTATGTGGGGACACGTGTAAAGACCAACTTAACTAAAACTAAACAAAATATATCGACATTTCATGTTTACTGAGTCCACCCAGCTCTGATGGGTACCTGGCTCAAGTTGCGGAAAGTACAGGCAACTATGCATCCGGCTGACCGTGACATCCCTTCATATTCCAAGGTCAAGAAACATCAACTCTACTTCATCTGCTCTATAAGCTGTAGAATATTCCTAACATTTTCACGTCTAAGGTACAATGAATCCAACTCGGAAGTGGAATGGCCTTGCTGTAACAAGCACTGTCAAGCCAACGGCGACTCCATAAGAATCTGTGTGATAACTCAATAACTTGGGCATGGAGTCAAGTTGGTTTGGCGTGTGTTTCCGGGCAGATAATCCAACCTTGACAGTTGATCCTGCTTTTAGCATCCCACAAGCCCTTCAAGCCAGGGCTGGGAAACTTAGTAGGAAGTAACCAAATAATGAAAACATGTGGTGTAAGTATTTTCTCACAGGTTCAGACATATAGGTCAGGGGCGGATGGAAAGGGCATATACTATACCTAAGGATATTTAGTATATTTTAAACTGTAAAATGTTTAAAATTAACTTCCTATTACGTTGTTGATCGCGTGTTTTTTAGAAAATGATCCGACCGAGTTAGACGTAGTTCGTTATGAGTAAAATGAAAATCGAACCACCAGCACCATAATTAGAGCTATCTTTTTAAAATTATTGTATAACTAAGCCTTCATTTAAGACACGTTAGTTGGTCTTATGTCCATAAAAGACAGGGTTAGTTAAGATACGTTTTAAACTGGTCTAGTTTGATTACTCATGTTTGTCCCCAGACTTTGTTTAACGCAAGAAACCCATTCAACACAAGCAATTTTTCAATTATACCAACACAAATCCTGGATTTCGAAATTTTTTTTATTTAAAAATTTATTTATTGAATAAAAATAATCTAAATGTAATTACACATATTTCTAATTTCATTTGGATATATAGTTGTTATTGATCAATCATAAATATATTTTACAATTAATTTACAATTTTTGAGCAACTTGTTTGGAATCAAAACAATTTTTATTTTTATTTAAATTGTTAGTTGACATGGACGTTGATAGAACAAAAATTGCAGCTAAAATAAGAGCATGCACACTACAATGTTTTTAGTGAAAAAAAAAAGACTTAAAATAGATATTGTATATCGGGTATACCGAAATGCTATTCCTGCATGTTTTAGTGAGTGTGATTTTATTATCTTTGTTACTGCAGTATTATAAGGCGAGTTTATTATAATGTTAATCTCAGAGATTTTATTATATAATGTGCGAATGAGCTACATGCAGTGTGATAGATTAGTACGGCTTAAGGCTCGTGTTGAGAGATATCAGGAATTATGGTTCATGAAGTTTAATTTAGAAAATTTAGGTGAAAATAAAAAACAAAATTATGTTAATTAGCATAACATTGGTGTAATTACATTTTTGAAATATGTAAATGAACTGTTAAAATATATTACACTTGGAAATTAACTAAAAAAAACATACAGCCCGAAAACAAGAAAAAATAAAAAAGAGATATTTTTCAAATATATTTATAACAAAGACTTGAATCAGTTCTATTTTGTGCGGTGAAAACATCCCCAAGTCACCGCTTCCAAGTGTGGTACCTCTTATTCTCTGAGTCAACTCCCAAAACTCGATTCTTTACGACGCACCTGAGACGACTCAACTCTGACTCGATTATGTACGACGCCCCTGAGACGACTCCCCTAACTCGATTCTTTACCCTTATTCAACCCATCTCCGACTCTACCTGATTTGAGTCGAGATTTGTAATGCGGTTGAACGTATCACATAATATACAACCTCTACCATAACTTCACAGAACCGCGTGACTTCTACTTCTTCATCCAAATAGATCATATTGTCTAAAGGGACCTAAGACAAAAACATACGTGAATGCTAGATAAAAACACCTCGGATAAATTTCATGACTTATCTTTCAATACACAAATGCGTTTATGTACTATTTGATTATACTTTTGATTATATGATCTTGGTTTATATTTTTAAAAAGCAAACAATCTAAGCATTATGTAATAACTATGTGCTGTATTTTTCCCGGAATTATTTCTCCATACGTCAGAATGTTCCAGATTTAGCCCCATCGTCAGGGCTGACACACTGCACGCCTATTTATAGCCATTACGTAATATGATTTCAACTGAAGCTTGCGTGGGTATCGATTATTGATCTTGTATTTTGAAGCTTATCTGCCTTTAGAATGTTAGAAGTGTTTTGTTATTCGAGCGTGAAGGCAATGAGAGGGGAAGTAAGTCATGTTTCCCTTGGAGTTATCCCACATAACTGTAGCCTATACAATTACAAGTTTCAAATTTTGATTTCATTCAAGATGTAAATTTCTAGTGAAAATCTAAAAACAAGAGATCTGTATTTAATATTACATTTAAACATCGCTCAAATATGACGTCACACACTTTTCAAATCTAAATCTCTCTTCCTCCCCCCCCCCCCCCTCCCACTTTTTTCAGTCCTAAGCTATTATCACACTTGATCATAAAAAGCTTCAACACTTCTAAGAAATGTTAAAAATAAACTTCGCCCTCCTTAAATGAGCTCTAATTCTACCGAAAAAAATTAGCTAACTAAAATACAAAATGTAAAAGCGAATAAATGTATAAACCAAATTTTAGTCACAACGTAACTTATCTCTTTAAAATATTGTGCAGCTTCCTATAATAACATAAAAAAAGTATTTTTATTATGTTAAAATGTTCAAATTAAGTCTTATTATTGTAAGTAGCAAAAATTATTTTTATTATTTAAATAGAAGTGCCATTTAAAAATAGCTTGTAACCTAAACAATCGCGAGGAAGATATAAAGATAAGATTTATTTTAACAAATATTTTACATACAAGCTTATTGTAAATAGATGCGATACTGATAACTAAAATTTAAGTATTATTAGCCTGTTTCAGGATTGATCATTAAGGTTAAGTAGTTTGAGAAAAAGTGTGACATTTCAATCATTGATCATTTTTCAAACACCTTTTAGATTACTTTATATAGCGGAGAATATTCAACCTGGCAGATTTGTCTACTTAACAATAGTCAAGCTAACTGATTCGTCTAGTCCAGGGGTCTCCAAACTACGGCCCACGGGCCGGATGCGGCCCGCGATGTCCTCTCATCCGGCCCGCGGAGATCTTTTTGTCCACAGAAAAATCGTTTGTTGCTGATGGCTGAGGGACTTTGCCCAGAAAATCAAAGACATGCCTGAAAGAAACTGGCCCCCGAACTGAAATTTGATAGTTAATGCGGCCCTCGGACTGAAAAGTTTGGAGACCCCTGGTCTAGTCGATAATCTCCAAGCTAGCTGATTCGTCTAGTCGACATTCTTTACGCGAGCTGTTCGCTCTAGCTGAAAGCATTCAGGCTAGTTGGTTCGTCCCGATGGAGCTGTAGTTCCTCTTGACGGTCTGCCGGTCGCTGTAGCCGGAGCTGTGGTTGTGGGTGTGGCCGAACCAGTAGCCGAAGCCGGAGATCTTCTGACCGAGGATGTAGACAGGTGAGCCGCTGCTCCCCGGGCAGGTGGCGGCCACGTAGGAATACCTGCACCACTCCTGGCGGTCCCTGACGTCCTTCAGCATTTCTTTCTCGTCCCACTCGTCAACACTGACCATCTTCGGACCGCCGTGAGGGTGTCCAATAATGACCAGGACTTTCTTATCTTTTAGGTAATCTTTTTGGAACAGTTGATACACTTTCTTTTGAGCCTGTTCGTACTTATCCAAGAAGCCTTTTAGATCATCTATCAAATCTTTGTCGTGTATGACACATTCAAATCCACACCAGTCGTTTTCCCCACCGTCTTTCTCAGTGTCTTGTATTCTGTGGAGAGTTAGTTTTGGAAGAGTTTTCAATACATCAGTTTCGTTTTCGTAGTAAAGGATAACTTTAGTACTTGCCATGTTCTTCTGCACGTTGTCCATCACGTGATACACGCTGGATAAAGTCAGTACTGCCCAGACTTTCTTCCTTTTTGATTCATCAAGACGCATGCACTTCTTACATTGGCAGGATTCCTTTTCTTTGAGTTTTATTCTTTGTATGAAGGCCGTACCGCAAGAAATCTTTTTAGTTCCGTCAGTGAGAATACATTCCATGTAAACTGTCAACTTTCCCATGTTGGTGATTAGATCAAATATTGGCCCTGCATCGTTCTCACAAAAACTTCTAAAATCTTCATCCGAAAGCCTGATGTGTTTTTTAAAATGTTCCTCTACCGTTTGTTGTGTTATGGAACGGTACAGCTTGAGTTTAACATGGTCGGCAGATTTCTCGCATTTGTCGCGAGATTGCTGCCAAGTCTCGCCAGATTCTCTAATCTCATGTTCAGGTTTTGCTGGAAAATGTTTTTAAAATATTAGAGTATAGACAGTTTTAGCAATTAAAAAACGACTGCCTTCACACCCAAAATCAAAAACGATTTAAAACAAGAGAGTTGTAATGCTAATTCTAATCTGAGTTCGCTCACAAAACGAAAGTGACATAAAATAACATCCTCATTTATCTATTGTTTCAAATTATAACAGAAAAAGATGATTTTTACTGCGACGGCTTTGTTAAACTTCAGTGATGCGGAAATATTTATTTCAAAATATAAATGTAAAGAAAATGATGCATTCTATATTTGAAAAGAAAAATGACTTACAATTTTTAAAGCCATTGCTAAAGCTGGCCATTTTTTTAACCTGAAAAACAAAATAGTTAATATACAAGATTTTTGGTTAAGTTAGTTCCAAACACCGGTATTTCAAGTCAGGGTTTGTTATGTATTCAGTACAAGTGTAGAGATGTATAAAACACACAATTAACACAAGCCTGCCTATATACACAGCAGTGGGTGTGTGAGAGTTTGAGTGATACACATGGGGTCACCCCGCCCTCAACACTAGGCGGATGGTAGAGGTGGCTGCACACAGTACAGACTCCTCTTTAGACCTATCAATCCATTGGGCAGATGAAGTAGAGTTTATATATTTCTTGACCTCGGCATATGAAGGGAAGGTGTGGTCAGCTCTTTGCCCATCCGCCTTTACTTTCCCTAACAAGAGTGGGACGGTCCACTCACTTAGACCAGTATTTGAACTCGAGACTTTCTGGTTAGCAGCCTAGCGCTCTACAGGCTCGGCTACGACGTCCCATGTCTGGACACAGTGCTGACCACTAATCTATTCATAAGCCAGGATAGTATCAACAGGAGCCATTTGAATCCCAAACAATTGCTCTCTATTTTCCGTACTTCTCTTGTAGAGGCATACACGACTGGAACCGTTTCTCGGCATAAAGGTAGACTAAACAGGCAGCAGTGTAAGGGGCAGTTGATGGCGGATGGGGACTGGTTAAGGACAGATAATGACCAATAGCCCTACTGTCTGAATTCTGGGCTTAAGTTTTCTGACCACCAACTGCATTTTTTATCGCAAGACAATGTCATCGATAACTATAAAATCAATCTGACTTGAAATAACGAGATATACTCAAGGAAGGATAAGCTCGTGGTAAACATAAAAAAATAAATAAATAGAACAAATACACGTGTTTAAAATTTGTTGATAACTAACAGTTGTATGAATGTGTATGGCAGGTGTTTGGGAGGTGTTTGGGGGGTGTTTGAGAGGTGTATGGGAGGTGTATGGGAGGTGTATGGGAGGTGTATGGGAGGTGTATGGGAGGTGTATGGGAGGTGTATGGGAGGTGTATGGGAGGTGTATGGAAGGTGTTTGGGAGGTGTATGGAAGGTGTATGGGAGGTGTATGGGAGGTGTATGGGAGGTGTATGGGAGGTATATGGGAGGTGTATGGGAGGTGTATGGGAGGTGTATGGGAGGTGTATGGGAGGTATATGGGAGGTGTATGGGAGGTGTATGGGAGGTGTATGGGAGGTGTATGGGAGGTGTATGGGAGGTGTATGGGAGGTATATGGGAGGTGTATGGGAGGTGTATGGGAGGTGTATGGGAGGTGTATGGGAGGTGTATGGGAGGTATATGGGAGGTGTATGGGAGGTGTATGGGAGGTGTATGGGAGGTGTATGGGAGGTATATGGGAGGTGTATGGGAGGTGTATGGGAGGTGTATGGGAGGTGTATGGGAGGTGTATGGGAGGTGTATGGGAGGTGTATGGGAGGTGTATGGAAGGTGTTTGGGAGGTGTATGGAAGGTGTTTGGGAGGTGTATGGGAGGTGTATGGGTGGTGTATGGGAGATGTATGGGAGGTTATGGAGGTGTATCACAGGTGTATGGGAGGTTATAGGAGGTGATATAAGGTTATGGGAGGTGTATGGGAGGTGTATGGGAGGTGTATGGAAGGTGTATGGGAGGTTATAGGAGGTGATATAAGGTTATGGGAGGTGTATGGGAGGTGTATGGGAGGTGTATGGAAGGTGTATGGGAGGTGTATGGGAGGTGTATGGGAGGTGTATGGAGGTGTATGGAGGTGTATCACAGGTGTATGGGAGGTTATAGGAGGTGATAGGATGTGTATGGGAGGTGTATGGGAGGTGTATGGGAGGTGTATGGGAGGTGTATGGAGGTGTATCACAGGTGTATGGGAGGTTATAGGAGGTGATAGGAGGTGTATCACAGGTGTATGGGAGGTGTATGGGAGGCGTATGGGAGGTGCATGGGAGGTGTATGGGAGTTGTATGGGGGTGTATGGGAGGTAGTAAACATAATAAAACAAGTAAATAAATAAATACACGTGTTTCTACTTTATTGTTAACTAGTTACTTTAACCAGTTACCAAGTCCTATTTGTTCAAATTTTTTAATTCCATGAAAACCTCATCGTCTAGCCCACCCCACCCCCAAAACAATTTGACGTTTTCAAGACATTGATGGTATTGCATAAAACAATAATGTTTATTTATAAAATATCTTTTTATTTTGCTTGTGAATAGGCGAACTGCGAGAGTTTTCTTGGAATAAAAAAAATTGAACAAGTGGTCGAGAAATAGAACGCACGTTTGCTAAAAAAGAAGTCTTTAGTTCGGTCCAAGAGCTCCTGATTTTAAGTCATTTCCATAACATATAAGAAATACAAAAAATCGTTATTATTGTTATAGCTTAACATCGGGAAAACATCTGTTTATGTTCTTAGCATATAGAGGAAAAATCCAGATTTGTTTTTACGTTCGATAATTTATCGATTCATGTACCATTGTTGTTACTTGTTATTTACATTAAACGTACATTTCTTTGCATTGCATTTCCATTACATCGTTTTGGTGTTTAAAAAAAATCCCAGTTAGGAAGCTGTTATTAGTTAGATCTAATTAGGTAAATCTACAATTCTAATTAGTTATAAATTTTCAGTTAGATCTGGTTTTTGCTTACCTTTAACCAAGTGACTTCCAAAAAGGCTTTTAAACACTAAACATTCAAATGTCTCTTACCATAAACTATTATATACTCTTAAACTCATATTGGGAAATGCAAGCATTATACAGTATATTTTTCACGGAAGGATTTAAATATTCAACGGGAAACTCAAATTGTTTGGCCAGCATCCAAACGTTTTTTTTGTGTGTTTTTTAAAAATAAAAACCCACCCCAACGTCAGTTCTAAATATAAATAGTCCCAGAGCTGCGTGGCATGACCCTGTACCTTAGTGCTGACATAATCTCAGTGTTGCCACCGTTGTTTTTATAACCCAAGTGGAACAGCATGGTCGATGGTAAAGCACACAGCTGTTAACCCTCAGGTCTAAAGCTACGAATCCACCCAGCTCTATTAAGTTCCCCGATTCGAGTTGGAGACGGTAAAAGCGACTGCTTAACACACAATCTTTTCAAATGTTGAGGTTACAAAAATAGTGGGCTCTACCTGCCATACTGATAATCATGTTTATTTTGTACGCTAGTTACTCTTGTAAAAAGCTCCCGTTTTAGACCTAAAGATCCAAAGGGTAGATAAAGTAGATATGTTTCTTGACCTCGGCGTATGAAGGGAGTGTGTTCAGCACTATGTCCAGCCTCCGTAACTGGACTATTGTAGAAAACCAAAATTGATTTCAAGCGTTTGTCAGATCAATTATAGGTAGAAGAATATAATTTTTGTAATTTTATCTATTTTTGTTTGACGTGCATAAGTACCTTTCACTCAATACTGTAAAGTAGGGAGGTGGAAATCTGATAAAACTGTCAGCATATCAGTCAAGTATTCAGCACATTACAATACTTCCTCTATAAGCTTACTCTGTATACGAGAAAGTAAAAACTATAGACAAAACAATTACACTGACCTCAGCAGTTTTAAGCAAAAGAGCAAAACAATGTGTGTGGTGGGGAGAGAAGAGTGGGTGGTGGGGTCATTTTGTTTGAAAACGACTTAAAATCTCGAAACTTTAGGACCGAACTAAAGACTTATGTGCTAGCAAACGTGTTCTATTTCTCGACCACATTGTCTACCCCACCCCACCCCCTAAACTGTTTGACATTTTTAAGACATAGGTGATATTGCATACACCTGACGGTGCTATGAGTCATTCAATCGATACAGGCATACAATTGATTACATGTCGTTGTTATACTAAATATACAACACACACAACAGGGGAAGTACTGACATAACAGTTCCCTCCCTTTAAAGTTCATGATAGTGAAGAAACGCATTCAGTCGTCACCGGTAGCGTCTATTTTAATCGCATCTTACAACGCTAGCTATTATGTTAATCTCTTGATTAAGATTTATCAGCATAAAATAAAGCTGAACGTCGCTATTAGCTGATCATACGGTGTCAACGAGTTATTTGTTTTAGATATTATGGTAAAACAAAACTTATATGCTTAGTTCATAGTTGGGACTAGATCCCATACCCTTCCCAAACACCTCGATACACCTCGATACACCTCTATACACCTCCCATACACCTCCCATACACCTCTATACACCTCCCATACACCTCCCATACACCTCTATACACCTCCCATACACCTCCCATACACCTCTATACACCTCCCATACACCCCCCATACATCTCCCATACACCTCCCATACACCTCTCATACACCTTGCATACACATCCCATACACCTCTATACACCACCCATACACCTCCCATACACCTCTCATACACCACCCATACACCACCCATACACCTCCCATACACCTCCCATACACCTCTCATACACCACACATACACCTCTCATACACCTTGCATACACCTCCAATACACCACCCGTACACTTCCCATACACCTTCCATACACCTCCCATACACATCCCATACACCTCTTTACGCCACCCATACACCTCTATACACCTCCCATACACCTCTCATACACCTTCCATACACCACCAAATACCTCAATACACCTCACATACACCACCCATACACCATCCATACACCTCCCATACACCACCCGTACACTTCCCATACACCTTCCATACACCTCCCATACACTACCCGTACACTTCCCATACACCTTCCATACACCTCCCATACACCACCCGTACACTTCCCATACACCTTCCATACACCTCCCATACACCACCCGTACACTTCCCATACACCTTCCATACACCTCCCATACACCACCCGTACACTTCCCATACACCTTCCATACACCTCCCATACACCACCCGTACACTTCCCATACACCTTCCATACACCTCCCATACACAACCCGTACACTTCCCATACACCTTCCATACACCTCCCATACACCACCCGTACACTTCCCATACACCTCCATACTCCTCCATACATCTCCCTTACATCTCCTATACACGTCATTACATCACCAATACATGGCCGGCGCTACATATAAGGCGAACTAGGCGGTCGTCTAGGGCGCCATCCCTAGGTGGGCGCAAAATACAATCCCACCTCCCTAATTTGGAAAGGTCGGGGCGTTTTTTACCAGTCACTTTGCCTTTTTAATTTGGTGGTACATAATTGATGTAGAAAACGATTAAATAAGTTCGTAATTTTAATTTCGTACATTTCAAAAGGTTATCTAGTTTTAATAGGGCTTGTAAGTCTCGTTTTCTCTGACTTTGAATTAGAAATCTGTCCTGGTGTTTAGAGTTTTGTAATGACAGGATGTTCAAAGTATTGTCACTTGTTTGGTAAGTTTTGATGACTCGTTTAGATTTGGGAGTAACGGCGGAGGGCTGTTGCTGATATGGTTTCATAGGTATAAAGTATCGAAGTGTTAAAGTGTCATAATTTTTATTCGGCTGTTTTGTAGTTGAAGGTCTAATGGAATTTGATTGATAATAGAGAAATGAGAATGCAGGTGATGAAGTATCGTAGTTCTGGAGTTCGGGAGTATTGATTCTTGTGGTATTAAGGTATCGAATTATATTGACTGTTAAAGTGTAGTAGTAGGTCCAGTGAAATAGTTTTTGATTGGGAGTACTGTTTGTTGAGCTTGGTGAAGTTAAACGAGTTGGTATCGTAGTTCTGGAGCATCAAGTCTAGTTATGTTTAGGTATGGACGTTTGATATGTGTTGTGAATGTAGTAGAGTATATGGAATAGTCGAATTAGATGTTTTCAATTCAGTACAGAACACACTACAAAGAAAAGAAGGCGTTGTCTAGTTGAAAAATCTTTAGGAATCTATATTACCACTCTTAAAGTATTAATATATAATATTAAATAGGATGCAATTTATAACTAACCGTAAACTTTGTTTATTCAAATTATATTTTTTTTTATAATTAATAATTACAGCAATGTATAAATAGTTACCCGTGCTTAACTTTTTGAAAGACGTCCCTTTATTTAGGGGATCCAAAATTTGACAAAAATATCCAGTTCATAAAGTACTATCTAAAGTATGTCATCAAAATTGAATAAAAAAATGTTATAGTAAAGCTAACGTTTTTCGACTTTAAAAAAAAAACGTACAGTCAAGCATTCAATAGCTTAAATATATTATTTTCTCAGGTTTACATAGCTAGTACAAAATATTTGTTATAATTATTACGTAATGAAATTCACAGCGTTTAATTGTGTTTTCAAACATGTCTTATTTACACTTGGTTAATTTAGCTATTGTTGTAAAAGTTGTTTCCCTTGAATAAAATTTTGTTATTTGGATTTTCAAATGGGAGATAATTCGTTGCTTAACTTTACATTCCTTTCAAATTCCTGCACCTTAGGTTGAGCGCTTACATATTAATACAACTTTAAGTTATTATTTGTTAGTGTAAAAATTATATAGAGCTTACGTTTTAAACAAAATAGTTTGGTAGGTGTTTTTAGCATTATCAAATTGAAAAACAAATACATCAGTAGCCATCGTAGATTGCAATACTTAATGTTAGTAGACATACAGTCTTAGTCGTAAATTAAACATCTAATTGATTGTCTTTTCATATTTTTCACCCTCTCCTAAAGGATTCATCTATAACAATTTTAGACTGGAATCTATAACATTTATAACCTTTTATTTTTCAAAAACAAAAAAAAAATCGTTACATAATCACAAAATATATACATTTTACAATTATCACTAAAAATAAAAGGTTAAAACAGGTAAGTTCCGTTTTGGAACTCACCTTGGGAGGACTGCAGAGAGCCCAACACTACAAGCACTTTTTTTTCAGTTTTTTTTCCAGACTTTTTTTTGGGGGGGGGGGGGGGAGCAATGTGATCACAGTGAGAGATGGAAACGGTTTGGCATTAAGTCATTAAGGAATTAGGAGTAAAAAAATAGGAGGTTGGACTGAGGAGGGGGGAGCCGTTGTTCGTGGTGGAGGGGGTGGGGGGGGGGAGGTGAAAATGTAATATTTATCGATGTCCTTTTTGGGAAAATCCCGTATTCGGTATATGATTTCTGTAAGCCTGAGAAAAGATTACATCAGACGTCAATATATTTTCCGGATATAGGAAACCACACAATATAATTTCCGAATAAGGAAACCATAGCCTGGCTGAATAGTCACTATCTGAAAGCTTATAGAGTCTCTTTGTTTTGGTTTTTTGGCATCGAAAGTAAAAATACATGAAATATGGGTTTCAAGTTAGCAGGTATGTGGTCAAGATGTATGTGATGGAAGTTCAAGTAAAAGGTCATGTGAAGTTCATTTTCGAACCTGACGGTCTATGGTGTAAGTGAAGTAGATTTCACCTGTTTTTTTGTGACCTCGGCATATGAAGCGATAGTGTAGTCTATGCCCATCCGCCTTTACTTTCCTAACGTGAGCTTGGGTGGACTCATGGACGTTTTACTGACTTGAACCCGTACACTCTCGGCTTAGCAGTGTAGCGCTCTACCGCATGGCCACGCCGTCCAAAAAAAAGGTCAAGTGAGGTCAAGCTAACATTTCATTTTAGATCTTGTAAAGAGGTCACGTCATGCCAAGTTCCAGATTAGCCTGCCACTATTCTAACTTTAAGCCTTATTGTTGCTAAACTCTATCGTTAGCTTAACCTTAAGACTAGGCTAACGTGTCTAATTTAATTTGTGTCGTAAGAAACT